AAAGAACCAACAATACCAGTGAAGGTAAAAGGAGAAGCTGCAATCCAGTCCCTGTCTTTAAAAGGTTAGTGAATCGCCTCTCTGCATCTGCTCCTGAGCAGTCAGTGAGATTGTCAGATCTTGCATACAACTGTTAATGTTGTTACAACAAGCATTAAAATGTAACCTGTTTGTAGCTAGTTTGCCGAAGGCCTGTTTCATGGGGACAGTGATACTTATTAATTTTCAATGTTATAACAAATCTGACTGTTCCCACCAGTGTGAATAGCAAATACCACTTCAGCTTCCTCCTGTTCGATTCCTAAGGGAAATTGTAACTTTAAGCTTTTGTTCATTTCCATATAAATATTCTCTGGGAGGGATGGAACGTTTGACTTTTTTAGGAGGAGATTTTTTTTGGGTGCCAGTCCTCATAAAGTAATTTAATTTTGAATCCAACTGAAGGGTGTTAGCTTCAATTTATATATTCTTGGATTTGAGGAAAATTTCTGGCTTCTACCCTATCCAGTAGAGCACAATACAACTGTAGACTCCCCCTCTGCCTGAAGAAGTGTTTGTACCTGAAACCTTGCAAAGAACTATTTTTCCAACTACTTAGTGGGTCTAATAAATATCAGATTTACCCAAAGAACCTTGTCTGCCTATGTCCTTAGACCAACATGGCTACAACCAACACCCTCAAATCAAAGAGGAAGTTGGAGAGCATGGACTCAGTTTCTAGAACACGAGTTAGTCTTTCTTTCTTTCTCTTTTCCTTATTCACAACACTGCAGTATGGGAGTTTGCTGCTGCTTTTCCAGGGGGGAAATGGAATGACCTACTTGATAAAATAAGCACAAACAATTCTAAATGTTGTTGTAAAGAAATCAATTGTTGAGAGAATCTACAAAAGTTTGCTCTGAAAGGGGTAATATTGTGCCATGGCTCAATATGCTGCAAATTAAGATAAAATGATCTGCATAATCTACACCTTTTTATTTAATACCCTGTTGGATATTCTTGAACAAAATCTTTCTTATTTTGAACTCTTTGTTGGTTGGGGCAACCTTCTAGACGTTTTTTATCCTGTGAGTCTAGGATATGGTACAGAAGGTGCGCACACAGTTGCTACTGTTCTTTCAAGAGCAGTTAAAAATACATATTTAATATCAGTAGAAAAGTATGAGGCACTGCTGTAAATCAGCGCAACATTTCAATTCACAGTAGTTTTTAATAATTGTGTGACTTCCCAATTTTAGTGTTTGACCTGGAAAAAGGAAAAGGTTTTTTTTGGCGGGGGGAGGGGAGTTGTGTGGTTTTTTTGTTTGTCTTTTAATCCATCTGTCTAATGCAGGGGGATGGCTTGAGGACTTCACTGTAGCACTGTCATAAAGTGTCTGAAGTTTGATATCCAGGTTAAATGCACAGGAATGGTGTAACCAATCCCAGTGAGTGTTGATAACTAACTAAATGAACACCAAAAGGAAAGAAGTAATGGTAAAAATCGACTGTTGAGGTGATGCAGTGTAATGGGCAACTGTATCAGGTGGCTTAATCTTGTAGCCCAAAGAGGAACTTTTTCTTTTCCTGTAGTCTGCACATGTAGTCACTGGGGCTCCTTAGAGGCCAGCAGTACTGTACCCTTTTATCCATGACTAACTGAATATAATGACCCCCAAACACCCCTGAACATCTCTTGCTGTTGCTTGTCTTTTTGTGGGCTTGCAAATACAAAATTGTTGCTGCATTCTCACTGCTAGTTCATTCTGAACCTTTCTTAAAGCAGTTGCAAATACTCCTGGACAACTTGGTATGTCCTGTTTCATTGTTACTGGCAAAACTATCTTCCTTTTTTGTGAGAAAGTGGGCGGGACTGGAAAAGCAGCTACTAGCATAAGCAAATACTTCCGTATTCAGCTGTGATCGCCATGGATGTATTTAATGGATATTTACAGCATTCCTAAACCTAAGTATGTATGCGTTTGAACATGCACCGAGTTAGGCATTCTATAAGGTTACTACCCAGAGCTGCCTAGTGAGCTGTGCATGTTAATGTAATTTCACTTCTAAATGTATGAATTACTTGTCTTGTTCATATCAATACAGCCTCAGTCCATGGTGCATCCACGTGGGGGAACACCAATGTTCCCAGATTCACAGATATTTTTCCCTACCGTTCATGAACGGCCAGTGTCTTTCTCGCCACCACCTGTTTGCCCGCCAAAGGTGGCAGTTGCTCAGCGGCGCAAGAGCACTTCTTTTCTGGAAGCCCAAACCTGCCATTTCCAGCCCTTGCTGAAGACTGGCCAAAATTTAGCTCCCCCAGGTGGTAGTCCAACAAACTGGACCTCAGAGGCAGTGGTTATGCTGGGCACACCTCATAGGGTCACTGGAGAGCCACTGCATGTACAAGTCAATCCAGTGTTTGAGCCTGCTCCAGTGTATAGTGACTGCAGATCTGGTCCAGCACCTCCTGAGGATGCTCACTATAGAATGCATCCAGAAGCAGTGTATTTAGTGGGCATGCACTATCCACCGCAGTTGCAGGAGCACTATGATACAATGGCATATAATTCCCAGGGGACTGAACAGCATTTGAAACAGGTGCCTGAACAGAAGCATGTGCAAGGTGGCCTTCCCCAGAGCTCTGCTTTTGACTACCAATCTGGGCAGACATTCCTGGCAAGACCCTTTCAGACACTAAGACTGGATTCTGGGATGGGCCCTCTTTCACCATTATCGAGTGCTTCAGCTCCATTAAGTGCAGATTCCACACAGATGAAGTTCCACCAGGTATTTGTTCCACATTCTGCTCCTGCTGTGCTAACCCACAGTGGTGATGGGAGAGCAAGCTGTGTCTTTGAGTTCCATGTGCACACGCCAAGTTCTGCTCCAGGAGAAGGGGGAGTCTTACCCCAGCGTGTCTACAGAAGCCGTTGTGGCTCCATGGATTTTAATCAGGAGGAGTCCACTCAAAGCATAGGGCTGCATGGTCGTCTTCAGCCTGTGACAGAGGAGCAGTGTAACTACCTTGGTCCTGAGCTAACAGTGTCTAGAGGAGGATCTTTCAGACGGAGCTGGCCAGAAGGAAGCCCAGAATACTCAAGTGACTCATCACAGCTGACTTCATCGGATATTGGCGATTTCCAGTCTCCTCCTCCTGCAGGGCAGTCTTCTACAGCCTTTGCTTCAGACTTCTCATTCCCCATTGTTCAGCTGCCTCAGAAGGTATTGCAAGAGTCGCAGCTCTTCATCTGCTTCCCACAGGGAGCCTCAGCTCAGCAAGCCTTGTCCACCTTGCTTTCATCAGGACCATCTGCACTCTATCCTCAGGTTATAGGAGCAAGCCCTTCCAGAATTTCTCTGCTTTTTTTTAAGTCATCCTTTACACTAAGGAGAAGGGTTCTTTTTCCTTTCCCTTGCATTTCCCTCATCCTTGTCGTCCCGTCCCGTCCCGTCCCATCCCATCCTATCCTAGTGAACAGGTAAGCTTCCTGCTGTGGTGTCCCCCTGTCCCCGCCTCCCCTCCCCCCCCCCCCCCCCCCCCCCCCCCCCCCCCCCCCCCCCCAAACACTCAATCCAAGTTGTTCTAGATCTTGGAGCTGGAAGAGAGATGTGTTTCAATAATAGAAATTTAAAAGGATTTTGGTATCATACCAGGTCCCATCTAAGTAATGGTGGAGCATCAACAGTTTCCCAAACTATTGTCTGGGCAAAAAACATAGGAGAGGGACTTCTGACAAAGGTAACAAATAATCAGTGCTGTTTAGGCTGGTCAGCTTGGGTTCAAGTTGTTTGAAGTACAGGTTTGACCTTCAAACCTGGAAAGTTGGTTGAGTTGCTATAAAAAGGCCTGACTCATTGGCAGGGGTTTGCTTAATTTACAGTTATTGCAGAAACCGTGAAAACATCATTGCCTGTGATAGCCTGGAAATATTGCATTGCTCGTGATTTCCTGTGAAATCAACTTCTTTTAAAAAAAACAAACCCAAACCCAACATTATTCATATAATACACTCTTCTAGAATGTCCCAGTGCTTACTGCAATGTAAAGACAGTGTGATCATAGATTGTGATCGAGGGTTACTGTCTGCTAGTGATTTAAACTAAGTGAAGGTGCCAGTCAGTGAAGTGAAAATGTTTCAGTGCCATCTTTTAAGATGTTAAATGCAATGCCACTCTGCCAATTGGAGGCTAGGGGTGGGGCTGCCAGGAAATGCCTGAAAAATCTGTTCTTGTGCCACAACCAAGCTGCAGTAATTGTTTTGTCTTCCTGCGAGTTAACTAGTCCCCTAGTCATTGGTAGGAGGAAATACTTGACTGGAGGATCTTGCTTATTTTGGTCACACAGTAAGAATATCCTTCTTTGAATTTTATACCATAGCAAAATACATTGTATACCATGTAGAATAAAAAAAACCTGAAATGCCAGCTGACTTCTTCAGTGTTCAAAACCAAAAAAAAATCCTTTCTAGGTTTTGAAGGGATTTTGAGGGGTGGAAAAATGTATTTATACACATCTGGAAATGTATGTGTTGATGGAGAACTATATGTAATAGTAATATTACTATTAAATATTAATATTTAATTTAACAAAACTAGCCCTTAAACAAAAGCCAGCAGCTTTTGTGATATTTGAGTTAAATAATTCATAAGGTAGCACTTGCACAGCTGCAGAATATGGGGCTATTGAAAAATGACTTCATCCTTAGATGTACTTGTTTAATCAGCATGTACAGGACTTCCCTTTTTGAGTGCCTCTGCAGTATCCCACACTACTGTGTGTACCATCAGTGGTATATTTTAACTGTGAGGTATTTACATGATGTACATAATTTAAGTCTCACAGCTTTGTATACTTAAAAAAACAAAAGCAAAAAACCCCCAAAACAGGCCTCTCTAAACAGAATTTCTGTAATAGAAGAGGAACTTCCTGGAAGTAGGCATCTTCTCCCTTGCTCCCTTCCCTTACCTCTTTGTTGCAGGAATGAAATAAAGGCTCTCTCCAACCATGCCAGTTGTACAGGATCCTAAAAAAAGCCTTTTGGAATGGGAGATGATACCTTGGGAAGGAAAAGAGCTTTGCTTTCCTACTAAACTAAATAAAGTAAAATCCATAAGTATTTCTTACAAGTCAGAACATGAGATGCTATAGTTTTGACTTTCTTCTTTCCTTCCTTCAGTCTGAGGACAGAATGTGTTGCATGCAGCTTTTACTCATCAATCTTAATGGTGGTTTCTGCTGTCCAAGAGAACTTGCCGAATGACCATTCAGCACAAGTCCAGTGAAGTGTTTTGAAACCACGTGGTATTGTAATACTCAGCTGGCCTTTCATTATAATGAACTTCAGTAGGTAGTTTCTGTTATACATGAAATAGCTGAGTACACGTGGTGATGAAACGCATTGTGTATTAGAGCTCTTGATTGATACATTAAAGTAGTGCAGGTTTTATAGGTCTACGCTTTAACCCGATGTGGATAGATGGTTAAGCAGCTGGACCTAAAACGTACCATTTAAAATCATAGATAAGAGAGCTTCAGGCCCAATTTAATATTTAGGGAATTTTCTTTGGGGTGGCACAGTGCAAAGGGTTCCCTGCCCCCAGTTAAATAATAGGAATGTTTGTAAAAAGTGTTCAGAGAAGAAACACTGCATTGCAAGCTTCTATAGCTTGTATCCAATCAGAGGGCATCTATTTGTTATTAAATTGAAATTGTAGGGGAAGATTTGCCTTCCCATTTCAATACTTTTAGATGTATTTATAAATATACCAGATATTCTTTGTAGTCAGGCTTCCCACTGAAGTGACATAAATATAGGGAAAGCCGCTAGAAGATCTTTCTCCTGTCCCCTCCCCCTCTCCTCTAGCTCTGTCCCAGTATCTGATAAAGAAGTGTAATATTGGAATAAAAAAAAAAGAATGAATCTGCAGAGGAGTTGATTGCCATAACATTTCCTCAATCTCTTGCACATTCATTTGTAGTGTCATTCATCCATTCTTTTCTTTGCTTATTCATTCAAAATTGTCTGTTTTTAGCTTGGACTCTGTGGACTGGGGCTTTCTGTCTCTCTCCAGTAGCTGATCCTTTTGATGGTTTCTGAGCTCTCCTGAGAGCCTAGAAATGATCTAGCTTGTATTTTTGGCATGCCTATCGGTGAGCCCATAACATGCACGTGCACACGGAGTAGAATTTAATAATGATCTGGAATTCTGTATATCTTTGGATGGTGCTCAAAGATATAGATTTATTTCCTTTTCCTTGCCTTCTCTCTGCCCCTTGCCACCTGTGTGTGCGCCCATTTGGGGAAGGAGGGCATGTGAAAAATAAAGTTTGTGTTTTGTTTCCTGGTCTTGATCCTGTACCAGATCCTAAAGAGACGCTTCTGAAGAATGAAGTTGGTAGGCTGATTTACCTAATGGGCAAGATTTGGGTTGTAAAGGCATTCTGGGGTGTTTTTGTTCTGGAATACTTGACAAATGGAACTCGCTACTTCCATTTGCCATTTGCCATTTACTAGCACTCGCTAGTGCTTTGTTCTGGATTAGAAGTTGCTATAATAGAATCAAATTATAGAATACAGTCATGAAAACTGTGTAGGAACCTGTTCCAGTCAGGCCATCTTGGCTAAAAGGGAATTTTGGTTGCTTGTTGCAGAAGTTACAAATTGCAGAGTCTGATTCTACTTCTTTCCATTTGATTCCTCTAGATGCAGGTGCAAGGCCAGGCAGCTTCCAGTACTGTATCAGGTGGTGTGCCATCCCAGCCTACCCCGCTCACTCAGCAGGTAAGAAAAATGGTTCCAGAACTGAATACACATTTAATTTTTAAAACTTGCTGGCTGGCTGTTTTTGGTAGTCCTAAATATTTTCAGTGTTGCTTTCTGTTGACTTGACAGGCAGGGAGACATCTCTGTAGTTTCAAATTGGGCAAGGGGAAGGGGTTCTTGAGTTTAGATGGTATGTACCAGTTGGTCTGGCCCCAGTCAATGGTGCAACTTCTGTATGGTTTAGTGACTTGTACTGCCTTCATCTCGACTAAAATACATCAGTGAAGACCTGTTTTGGATAAACTCTACTTTTGCAGCTCCAAGGGGGCTCCGTTTTTGTTTTAAATAGGCAAAAGGGGACATCTCTACTCCACAGACTCCTTGAAGTTACCATATTTACTTCTAATATGAGCTTGTTTTAGAAGCTGGAATTTTGAAGTACGCATTTTGTAATGGTACATGTGGAAGATGTGAGGCAATCTTAATGAGAATTTCTAAGCATGTACACTTTGTAGGCAATGTTTGAAGACTTGGATCTCTTGTCTTGGGCTTGATTTTTTCTTACTATTGAAAGATACTAGTCATCTTGAGCTTTGGTACAACTATCAGAAGTGTTTTGTGAGTACTGTCTTTGTATGCCTTGTAGGAAAGGCATATAATCTTTCCCTTTTATCTTTTGGAAAGGGAATTCAGACTAACCTAGTATAAGTAACCTGATTTATAATAATTAAAGAATGTAAGTTGGTGCAGACATGAATTGGAAGCACCAACCTTATGGTAACTCTATCCTTTTCACCATTTTGGTATTCCAGTTCCTATATGTGTAAAATCTAACTCTTTTCCAATTTCAAGGTTCCACTTGATGTCAGATAAAAACAGACTTCAGTCATTATTTTTTTTTTTAATTTCTTGACTTTCTTTAAAGTTACACTATAGCTATCACAGCTTTTAATGTTAAACAGCCAGACTTGAATCCTACAAATTAATATCTGTATGTACATTGTTTTTTGCTTGGGTTCACAGAAAAGATTCCACTCAAATTGTCAGTTGTTCTCTTGACACCTTAGTGTGCTCTCTTCTGGGTAGCACTGTATCTGTCTTTATATACTGCACAGTATCGTTTATTACTTTTGCACTGAAAATCTGTGTACATGCATTAATTTTTGCTGTGACAACCTTGGACTAGGGATCAGTGTTGGTGTTAGGTTAGTACTGATTATTAAAAATGGTTCTCCTGAACAGACTGCAATTAAATTTTTGAGAGCTTAGTTGCCTGGGTGGGGGGAGATGGGGGGCAAGGAGGAGCTGACTCATCTTGGGGTGTTTTTTGAAAGTGGGGAAACTTGAGAAGCTTTCTCTACAGAAAAAAAATGTTCTTATCCCCTCCTCTCTGCCACAGAGTGCACAGCAGCTACCTGCTCCCCAGCAAACGGGACAGTTTCAGTTGCAGCAGCCACCAGGTTCCAGTGGAGGTGCCCCAACACAGTCTGTTACTCAAACCCAGGCTCCACAGATCATGCCAATGCCTCAGGCACCAGTTGGGTCACAGGTAAACAAGCTTGGTCTTTCTGATGCGAGGAATACTCTCTTCTGATGGACTTCATGGCTGTCCCTCTTATGTTCCATCTTCCTTCTGTAATGATTCAGAGTTGCAGGAGGTGACATGTATATCTTGCTTACCAATTTGTCAGGAAATGCTGCATGTGTGTAGCTAGAAAAAAATGTTCTTTGGAACATGTAGCAGGAGTTCAACAATATAGGCTGAGGAGCTGTAGCACTTGAAAGGAGACCTTGCTTATGCAAATCTGTCATAGTGTCTGAAATGTGACTAAGGTACGAGTTCAAAGATTAACGTATACTGTATTATCTCCATTTTGAGAAGTTTTGTTTACCATTATTTTGAAGCCCTAGATGAATTGCACTTCTAGGACAATAATATTTATACAAATATCAGAAACATCAGCTCTTTAGGTGATGAGCCACATGTACCTTCTCTTTCAGACCTATCTTCTTGCCTAGCCAGCCTTTCCTTCCTCCTTGCCTAAGATGCTTCTCTTTCTGAATGGTTTTACTGCAAACTGGCTTACATCTCTATCTTGAATGTGTGAACCTTAATAATTTTTTTAAACTCCTTTTGTTGCCTATTCATCACCTAAATGCTTTTTCCAGTTATGTTGGTTTGCTTCCATTTATGATTTATGCCATTCTTTGAATGCTGGCACAGTGACTTTTTATTCCTCATTGCTTCATGCTTATATTCAGAGGAGGCTGATTTCAATGCTTTTTGTTGGGGGTGGGAGGGTACTTTTCCATAAGAAAAAAAGATTGGCTTCAGGGAGAAATTGAGGAGATCAGAATCTGTTTATATACAAGCAGATACCGTAGCAGTGGTGAGACCTTGCTGGTCCATTACGGAATGTGCATTTGTTGGAAAAACTCACTTGAAGACCTTCAGGGAAAGTGTTTCAAAATGAGAACTTTGGGACTGTAATCTATTTTCCAGCCACTCTGCCAAGTGCACCCTCCACCCCACTCCTGAAAACTTGTGGTAACTAATTCTTTCTTTAACTAATGCATAACAATTCTGCTTTCTGCAGCCCTGCTTCCTAAAAAGTCTATTTTTCTTTACCTCCCCAGCTTCCTGTTTCCCAACCAGTACCGATCATCCAAGGCGAGCCTCAGTTACCTGTTGCAGCATCTTCTCTCCCTCAACCATCAGTTGCCCCAAACATCCCTGTTGGTTCTCATTATATCCCTGTGGGACAACCCTTGCCAACTTCCCTGCTCCCCCAGTTCTCAGCGTCTCAGCTGCCCATGGCAGCACCTCATGTGTCAGTGGCTCAGCCAGGTTTCCAGTCTCTGCCCATGTCTATGCCAGCTGCCATTAATCAGCCACTACTCACTCTAGCCACATCTGCTGCAGCAGCTGCTATCCCTGTAGGATCAACTGTTGTCCCTAGCCAGCTTCCTACGCTTCTGCAGCCTGTGGCCCAGCTGCCCAGCCAGGTTCTCCCACAGCTCCTGCAGCCAGCTGTTCAGTCCGTGGGATTGCAGGCCAGCCTTGGACAAGCTGCTGAAGCTTCACTTCCAGCTGGAGATGCTTTGTACCAGGTATTATCGCAAGCCAGAGAGCGCCCTTTTCCATGTCTTGCAAGTTCCTCTAGAGCACTAAGTCTGAGTGGGCGCTGCAAATATTAGTGGATATCTGAATTTGGTATGAGTCAACAAGTCACACTTGCACTAAACAAGAATTCTGTCATTACAGATAGCATGAGAAGGCTGTAGTTTCACAAAAGCTTTGTTGAATGGCCAATTATTGTTCTTTTTAATTATTATATTTTTTGGCAATGGAATTTTTAAAGTGTCAGGAAAAAAAAGTAGATGCTCCAAGATACTGCTGTCAATTAGAGTAAGAAAACGGTAGTGTCTGTGCCAGTGATCTCAACATGGTGCAGTGTCTTGGAAAAAACTGTGTGATTACACCAGTAATTAGCCAGTCTGTTGATCCTAAAATTAGCTGAAGTGGCAGATGCAAGCCATGAAGTGGAGGGATAGTGGAAAGCACTTTGACAGCTTCTGGTTTAGTCGAATAATTTTATTTTTGTACTCAGTGTGAAAGTGGTAGACTGCATAGCAGAGGAATGTTCGAAGTGTGAGCTTCGCTGTTTTTAATGTAATGCATGCACAGTGAAATGCGCACAATTCCAGAGCACATGGTGGTAATAAGTACTGCTTGCTTGTATGTAGAAGCGTTCCTAATACTCAAATAAGTTCAGTTGATGACAGATGGGTAGTAGGGACATTAACTATAAGTTACTGAATATTAATAGCATCAGTTGTGTAACAGTGGGCATTCAGCCTGCAATTTCTTCAGATTTTCCATTTCAAGATTTCATAGATAACTATGAGAGAAGGTGAGGATACTTTCCCCTGGGAACTCCGAGAGCCTTGGAAAAAATCTTCTGGTTCATACTGCATGGTATCTCTGGAGGTGGGCTTGTAAGGTGGTCTCTGAAAAGCTTGAACAGTGAAGGGCATTAGTTTGGAAGGTGCATCTGCTGCTTTACTTGCTATGTTTTTTCCCTTTTCTCAGTTTTTCTTGCTGGTTTCTTAATTTTGTCTTGAAATGCACTAACTTGGCTCCTTCATTTCTGTCGCAGGGCTTCCCATCTCGGTTGCTGCCGCAATACCCAGGAGACTCAAATGTTGCTCCCTCCTCTGCTGTGGCCTCTGTTTGCATCCCTTCTGCAGTACTGTCCCCTCCCATACCCACTGATGCATTGGCTCAGCCAGGCTACCTTACGGCAGTGGTTCAGCCTTACGTGGAACAAAACGTTTTAGTTCCTTTGGGTGGTGTAGGAGGACAGGTCCAAGTGCCCCAACCTACAGTGAGTTTAGCACAGCAGGTCTCAGCTGCATCCTCACAGCAGGCAGCCTTAGAGGTAAATGAAATCTCTGTGTTGGGTAAATGTGTAAACTCTACATTTCAAGGCATGTGGGTGTATGTGGGGGAAACTAACCCCTTCCATGTTGGTCTTCAGATGGGCATTAACGAATTTAAAAATGACTTTTTCTTACAGCAGAATGTCATGCCAGTGTGGGGACCTTGTTGCCACTGGTTGTTCTGTTGGGAAGTGAGTGTGCCTCCCAGAGGCAAAACCTGCTAGCACTTCACTTCTTGCTAGTACTTTAGATCCTTTTTGTCTTGTACAAGACACTGCAATTGATAATCCTTTGAGAATCTCTCATTATACCTGTTCCCTGCAGCATTGCTGTTGCTGGGAGAGAGATTTGAATGGTCTTTGTTCTGCATTGGCTTCTCTGTTGCACATTCTGCTAGTAAGACTGGCTGCATGGCAAACTGTAGTGTCACGTAGCAGATAGGATGGCTGACCTCACCAGGCACTGAGATTTGCTGTAGAGCTCTTTGTTGGATGCCAAGATTTGAGCCTACTAGATGCTGGTTGTTTAATTGTTTGAAGGGTAGTGCTTTTGGCTTCACGGATTGATTGAGGGAGAAATAATGAAATGTGAGTGAGAGCAGTGAGGATACAAGACTCATTGAGTTTCTTGAAAAGTTTTCTCTCTTCACAGGGGGTTTCTCAGGCTTCTGTTCCAGAGTCTCTACCACCAACACAGCAACCTCCTGCACAAACTACTCCATTGACTTCTTCTATGGACAGGCAAGCGTGGATTTTTTTAAATAACTAAGTTGAATTCAAATGCTTAGATATTGGGTAAGAGAAGACTTTTTATCTTCTAGGGTGGTTATTAAGCATCTGTTCTTTACGTGAGATGATTATCAAGAGCTTGGAAAATAGAAATAGACGTAACTTCCATTTTCCATTGAAGGCTTTTCTCCAGTGCTGATAAATATTATTTTTAAGCAGGGCCTGGGGAGAATGCACATTTTGTGCAGAGACCTGATTTCTCCTAATCTGTTGTAGTTGCACACAGTAGGGTGCTACTCAGTCCTGTTATTACTGATATTTACTTCAGGGGTTGTATCTTACAGAGCTTGATGCCTCATCCAGGAAAGTATGCTTGAACTGATTAACTTCAAAAGATATATTTTATGAATTATTACCTTAATAATGTGTGGTAAAATACTTGTTATTCAAGTGACCATATAATATAAGGTTTAACCCTCCTATCCCTCCCTCCGTCCCCCTCTTTCTTCAACTAACCAACATTATCCTGAGAAGGCAACCAATCTCTTGGGGTGAGGGGAGGCAGGCATTAGTTGGTCACAAAATGCTGAGGAAATAGTTTTATATTAATGAAACCAATGAATGAAAATTAAAATTCTTGCTTTCATTTTTTTTAGTGCCCATTCTGATGTTGCTTCAGGTATGAGTGATGGCAATGAGAACGTTCCAGCATCTAGTGGGAGACACGAAGGGCGGACTACCAAACGGCATTATCGGAAGTCTGTACGCAGCCGCTCTCGCCATGAGAAGACTGCTAGGCCAAAATTGAGAATTCTTAATGTGAGTTAGTACTCATTTTAATTGTTGAAAACTGTTTTAGCCAGTCTGCTGAAGATGAATGGCTTATTCCTATCCCCTTCTGATTAATTAATTATAAATACTGATCAGCTTCCTATTTGAATTACTTCAAATTACTTTAAATTACTTTTACCCAGCTTTTTTTCCCCTGTGTATACCAACATATAGCTCAATAGCACAAAGGATTCTTTCAGCTTTAGAGGTCTTTGTTCTAGAGATCAACTGAGAGGTGTGCAGGGGAGCATTAAATACAATAGAATATTGAATTAGGAAGTTATGCTAGAAGCTGCTCCTGAGTATTTGCTTTGCATGGTGGTTTGCCTTGCTCTCAGAGTTAGGTTAGAAATGGGTTAATTTTAAGTCTGGAGTTTGAGAGATCTCATAATGCTTATCGTGTTACCAGTATATTTTTCTCTAAAATGTTGAGGGTAGACTTTTTTCTGTTTCTTGCTTCTGTATAAGCTGTAAGGGTTAAAAAATCAGCGTTCCATAGAAAGGTGATAGAAATAAGGCAGTCATTCAGATTGGTGTGGTTTAGAGTTCCGTATGAGTTTTGGCATTCAGTGCATGTGATAGCAGATTAGAAAGTTAATAAAAGGGCTGTAGGAGGTAAAGATCCTTTTATCTTGCCTCCCCTTGCTTTTAAAAACCAGGGAGGTTGTAGTGTCTTCTGCAGTTCAAGCTGGAAAGCATATTTCTTTTCTTCTAGGTTTCAAACAAAGGTGATCGAGTGGTGGAGTGCCAGCTAGAGACACACAATCGGAAAATGGTTACTTTCAAATTTGACTTGGATGGTGACAACCCTGAGGAAATAGCATCAATTATGGTAAGTCATAATTCAGATGTAAATGAGGAATTGAACCTTGTTGTTAACCATATTAGTAATGCAGAAGCGGTTTTGGACCTGCCTTCCTGAACTGCTGACATGGTACTGGTTTCTCTCTGTTACACTGTTTTCTGTTCCACTAGTTTTACCAATACCACAAGCAAATTTGCATCTCTTGTGACTATTCTCAATAGTAGAGAATAAGTCCAAAGTTGACACATTGTTATATTCTTCTAAGGATTTGGGTCAGCTTTTGTTTGAGAACTTCTTTTTATTAGTTATTAGTGGCTTGGCCTAGACAGTTGAAATACCACTTCTTAAAAACTGAGTTTGTGAATGGGACTCTGGGCACAAGTAGACTATCAGCCAGCTACTGAGTCCTCATTTGGACAATATATATATGCCTTCATTGTTTAAAACTAGTATTGGCATAGGTTAAAGAACCATAGCTCTTTTGTTCACTCACCATGTGAAATATGCATTGACATAACTTTTAACAAATACTTTTAGTATTTGTTATTCATTAATAGGGGTAGTACCTCAAGAAAACACCAACAGTATATATAACACTTCAAAGTAGTCATGCAAACCTTGTAAAAGGGGCATCCCAACCAAGCCATAGAATGCATTTGTGATTTATTTAACTAGTGTCTGTATCTTCCATATTCACTGTATATCAGCAGATGGATATTTATAAAAGTAACACTCGCCGCCCCCCCAAAAAACCCCAAACCCCAACAAAACCCTTAACTGAACTGCACATGTTTTCCCTGTAGAGAGAATGAGCATGTGACAGTCTTATTGCCTAACATGGTACTTGATAAGGATTGGATGATATGGTGATGAGGGTAGAGTAAGAACTTTGGAGTGTTCTATCCATCAGTGTCCCATTTCCCTCCCTCCCTCCCTCCCTCCCACCTCCTTCCTTGGGATTAGTTCTTGGCGTCTTTAACTGGTAATTAAACATTTTAGATGCTTTTTTTTTTTTTTTTTTTGAGCATGTGTCTGATTCTTAATGTAAGAAGCTGCAAGAGGAACTAGTTGAGCTGCCAATTTTCAGTTTAACAAACTGCACCAAGAAATTAACCTGTGATGCCAACTTCTTTAGATAAATGAGACTTGGGCTAGAAATGAAGTAGATCAGCTGTGCCAGGATGCTAGCAGAGCTGATCTGTTTCACTGGGTGAAACATGTCGCCCATTACCCACCTGTTGATTTTGTGGGACAGTGGGTGTTATGTTCTTTTGGAGCTTGAGGGGCCCAGTCCTGCATGCCCTGGAAATCCTTGCATGGAATCAAGCCCTGGGAGGGCCTGCCTAGCTTTCCAGTCTTAAAAATGTGCCCGGGGAATCTTGGGACACATCTCCACAAACAGAGAACCTGGGCTTTCCTTGCTTAGACATGTACCTTGGGGAATCTCAGGGTATGACTCTGAGTGGGGAAAGTTCAGCTTTCCCCACTTAGACACCTACCTCTGGATTCCCCAGGGCACATCTCTAACTGGGGAAAGCCAGGCAGGCATTCTTAGAGCTTGGGAGGGCACCCAGTCCTGCTCAGGAGTTCCTTGGGTGCACAGGATCGGGCCCTTTCAAACACCTGAAGCACCTGCCTGGGGCAGCTGGAGAGCTGGGCTACCCTGGCTTTCACACCATAAAGCAAATGGAACCCACTGCTAAATAGCAGCACGAATTACTACCACCTTTGTTGTGGCCACAAATTTTGGGCATTTATGGAGCAAAAAGGGACATGGATACTTGTTTGCTTGGCCTTTGTGCCACTTTCCTCTTTGAGTGATAGACCAGTGCAAATAATGGAGGACCAACTCAGCGCAAACCTTGCTATTCTTGTGGATGCTAAAAAAAGACACAATCCCTTTCTGCATAATTTGCAATTAAAGCAGAAGCATCCAGTTAGCTAGATAAGTGGTGCGGTTTTTTTTGAGGGGGGAGGAATATAGGAGTAATTGAAAGATAAGTATAGGTATTTGAATGGCTCGTGACCCATGGCTTTGATGGGATTTATTAGTGTCTCCTACCTATTTTTATTTATAAGTCACCGGGTCTTGCTTTATCTACAGGTACAGAATGAATTTATCCTAGCGACAGAGAGAGATTCATTTGTAGAGCAAGTGCGAGAGATCATTGAGAAAGCGGATGAAATGCTTAGTGAGGATGTTGGTGTGGAGCTAGAAGGTGACCAGGGGTTGGAAAGTGCACAGGCAAAAGATGACAGCTTCTACCCAGGAACCCAGGTAAGTGGATGAATTGGCTATACTCTTTATGCCTTCCACTTTGAGTGTGATACCAGTATTTTTGCGAGTACAGTTGCCCAGAAACTGGAATTCCCATTTTATAGGAAATTCCAAAATTAAAAAACAAAACAAAAATAAAACAGAATAGAGAACTTCATTTAGAAAACAAAAACACTTTGACTCTACCTTTCTGACTCTTTTTTCTAAGGCTTCCCCAGCTATCTGAAGCCCTAGCATCCTGCTAGATGGTGAGCTAGAAGCTTTTAAGGTAGTCTACCCAATAGACTGCCAAGAAGCTGGGTAGACAAATTGGCAGGAATCTGTGCAGGTGTTGAAATCCCCCTGGAATGTGGAGTGTTTATATAAACTTTTGCATAACTTTGAAATTGCCATGCTTCCCTGGAATGCTTTGATGAATATAATTTTATCAGAATTCTGTTCTGATGAGAAGTTCATCAGAAAAATGAATGTTAACTTTGAGACCTACTAAACGATAAAGTGAGAGGAAGATATAAAACATGCTAATGAAGGAATTGTGCTCGTTAACTAGGTACATTTTCACCAACTGGTTACTGTAACTGGATTTATGTTATTGTATACATTTTATCAAGACAATAAATACTTTTAAATACTTCCTGCTTTTACTGTGAAGTGCAACCACTTAAATTTTAACTTTTTTTTTGTCTTTGCAGAAACTGGAGGGGGAATTCAAACAGCCTTCTATGCCCCAAAGAATAGGTAAGTTTTATAATGCTTTTCCAATTGCCTACCAGTCATGGTTTCATTCTACTGATGGATGCAAGCACATGTAGAGTGCATAGCCTTCGTGGCTGGACATGTTGTAGCAAACAAGATATGGTGCATGTTTAATTACTGAACTTCTTTTGTTTAGGTGTGCCCCCTAGCTCCTTCACCCAAGTTGTCCATTCTGCTGGAAGACGATTTATTGTCAGTCCTGTCCCAGAGAGTCGGTTAAAAGAACAGACGTTTTTCACCACTGGTATTCCCATAGGAAAGGAAATTCCAGATGTGGGTAAGTTAGCCTGGGCCCTCGTTTTGGTCCCTAAATATTTCATTCATATGTTCAGTTAGTGAGACTTAATTCAAGTGGGCAGTTCCTAAAACAATAAAAACAAAACCACAAAGTGAAGTATAAAGAACTGACTGTTCCATTTAAAAATAAGTATTTCTGGACAATGATATCCATGATTTCTCTTTACCCCCTCCCCTTCTTCCCCCACAAAAGCCCAAGATGTTTCCTAATTTTTTGATATGCTAGGCTTTCACAGGGTTCTTAGGGTGTCTTAATCCCGATTTTACAATACATACTCTGGCTTTGTAGTCCTAAATCTTTTCGTTTAAAAAAACAAACAAAAACCATCTTTATCAAGCCATAAGTAAAAGTGGTCTTAATTGAGTAGTGGGAGATGAGACGTACTTTAGAAAACTAATTCAGGTGAACTAATTCTCTCTTTGTCTCTTTCTTTCAGTTGCTGCCTCTCCATCCCATGGTCCTGGGATGAACCTCTCTCACTCTGCATCATCACTCAGCCTGCAACAAGCCTTTTCTGAGATCAGACATGGTCAAATAACTGAAGGACCCAGCACAGCTCCTCCAGTTTTTAACCAAACTGTACCACCGTTTCCACCTGCAATTACTAGCATGGCTGGAGGCCAACAGCCTTCATTGGTGACTCCTTCGGCATCTGTCCCCTCGACCACTGGCATTTCTCTTCCAGTAACTCAATCTGTTATATTGTCTGCAGAACAAGTGACGTCTGGAGTGGCACCAAGCACAGGTGTATCTGATTCTAGTCCTCCACCATCGCAGTCTGGGCAGCAAATAGCTGGAGTGACTTCCAGCATTAGTGCACCTGCTTCTTTTTCAGTAGCTACCACTTCACAGACTGCCCAGATGACTGGAGAAATTATCCCTAGCGTCAGCATGCCTGCTTCCTTAGCACAAACACAGCAGATTTCTGGAGTGGCTGCCCTTGTTAGTCTGCCGGGTGCTGTACCTCCACCTGCAACATCTCTGTCTGTTCAACAGATTGGTAGTACTGCAGCTCCAGCAGCTCCACAAATGTCTATCCCAGCTATAGTTCAGAATGTGGTTTCACAGCCTTCTCAGCTGAGTAGCAGTAGCTGTACCCTCAGCCAGGCAGAAACAGTTGTTGTTAGTGCACCGCAACCTGAGAGTACACAAATAGTAGATAAATCACAGCTCTGCAGTGCATCTGGGCTGTCCCTTCCTATCTCTGCACCATTGTCCTCAGCAGTAGTGTCAAGTATGTCCAGTTCCTTCACTCAGCCAGCAGTGGCACATCCTTTACTCATCCCATCGGCACTTGTACCAACACCCATTTTACCCCAAGCAGTAGGTGCAGTCTCAACACCTGTATTGCCTCAAGTTCCTTTACTTGGCATCCTCCCACAGCCAGTTGCAAACCTGCCTGCAGTACAGCAGACTTTGATACACAGTCAGCCTCAACCAGCTCTACTACCCAATCAGCCTCATACGCACTGTCTTGAGGCAGATGTTGACACGCAGCCTAAAGCACCTGGTATTGATGACATAAAGACCCTGGAAGAAAAGCTACGATCTCTCTTCAGTGAACATGGCAATATTGGAGCAACTCATCCGTCAGTATCTCTAGAGTCATCACTAGTAATGGAGACTCCACTCATCCCTGGCATACCAACCACTGCTGTTGCACCAACTAAGCCCATGACATCCATCAGCACTTCTCTACCACCTACGAGTTTGCCCCTTGGACCAACTGGTTTAGTGGCAATGACACCAGTAGCCACACCTGGGCAAGTAGGAACCCCAGTCAGCTATGTTTCAGCACAAGGCAGCATTGCAGCAGCACCAGTGAAACCAGGGACTCCTCCCTCAAAACCACCTCTTAGCAGGGTACCGGTAAGCAATGTAGCAGTTTTGTAAACGGTTTCTAGTGTACCTCGACAGTCTTTCAAAGAAGACTTTTCTTTTGTAGCAAAACCTGAAATCCAAACAAATGTTGCCAGTCTGTGCATTTCTTTGTTTTATTTCAGTTATGATGCATGAAGGAAAGAGAATCTTCTGTTTTACCATATCGCATTTAAATCTTTTCCTATGGAAGCAAATATCAAACTCTATATTATATCTCAGCAAAACCAAATAGGCTAGTTTTGGAGGAGGAATAAATGAGCAGGTTTATTAGGAAACAAAAAAACAAACAAACCAGCAGATGGGTGTTTTCAAATCTATTTGACTTTGGAAATCTTTAAAGTAGCAGTCTTATTCCATTCTCTATTTTGGTAGTCAGGCATAATGTATAGGGAGACTGAAGCTTCTCCATAGTTGAGCCCTGCCATCTGTTATAAACCTAGTCTTCAGGTGTGACATTGTATCCTCCAAGATCCTAACATCATTTGTGTTTTGAGGTCAGTTTTTCTGTCGTCCACATGTGTAGATCTGAATAACCAAATTTTGAGACCCCTTTGTTTAGAGAAGACTTGACAGTCTGCAACATCCTTCTGTGGAGGAGGTAGGGGGCAGAATATTTGTACTTGCACCTTACCAGGAAGAGTCCAGGACAGCTTTTTTCCCCTCAGGTACAGGTGGGAAATGTGGCATCTCTCCATATGGTGATGGCACTTTTTTTTTTTTTTTTTAATCTTGGTCTTAAGCAAACACAAGACTAGAGAAGGAGCCAAGGAACTTAATACAGGCCATGAAATGAATTCCATTTTATGATATAATGAGAAGGCACCAGCATTAAACAAACATTTAGTAGGATCAGGACAAGCAGCTGGACTTCTAGACACAAGTAGACTGCCTTAAAGATTTCCACTACTTCATTTCCATCTGCCAGTGTCAAGAGTTCCTGAGATCTGCAGGTTTCCCTGACCTCAGTTGATCTTGCAGTCTTTTTGTTTCCTCTTATAATTTTTTTCATTCAGGTTTTGTATTCCTGCTACCTGTCTTAGATTTGCATCCTTGAGGATTTAATATAATGTATGGGTGTTTCCAAGGACTTCTGTCTCGGGTAGCTCTGGTGTTTTTACTGATCTTCCAAGCTCCATCTTGGAGCCTGGTAACAGGGAAGTAAATCAGCCTTGGAGAAAAAATTAAACACGCAGAGGTGGAAGATGGATATAGTAACTTGAGAGACTGTTCATGAATAGGTTGAATGGCAACAGGTTGTTGCTGTAGTTGTTTGGCTTCCAAGGTTTTTGTGGAACTTTGGACCATGACGGGTATCTATCTCCAGTTAAGGCTGCGATTACGGATGAGTCTTAAAATGTAAGCAGAAGCTTTGCTAAGCTGGTAGATGACTGATGTTAAATAACCATAAGTACCTGTACTCACTTCATTTGTCTTATGGTGGCAACTGGGACCAGGTCTTCATGGTACTAGGTGGCATTAAAACAAGAAATACCTGCTGTGAAACAAAGATTAAAAAGCTTTACAAGAATGTTGCACATGCAGGTGTTTGAGGAGAGGAATATAAATGCAGAAAAATCAGACTAAGTTGAAAGAGCCAAATATCTGAAAATAAAGTAACAGAAGATGAGAACTGGTAATGAGATGATGTGGCTGTGATCCGTAGCTATAATTTCAAATGTTTGTGTTTAAATTTATTTGCATCTGAATGATATGTAATGTTCTGTTGTGGAAAACTTCTTTGTAAATTTATTTTCCTGTAAATTGTTTACTTATTTTTAAGTTTAATTTTAGGTTAATGAAGCTTGCCTAGAACTGTTTACTGTGTTTGAAGTTAATCTTCACATTCCTGTTTGAAGTTTGGGGAGAGCAACAGGAGTGTGCCTTCAAAGCACTCAGTGTAGTTTAAGGCATTAGTATCTAACATGATCAATATGTACATTTCAGGGGCTTTTAATGCCTTATCTCTCAGTTTGAACTGTAAGAGAATTTGGGGTTTGCTTATTTGTATGAATGACATTCTGCCTTATAGACTTCTGGTAGATGAACTGAAGAAAAAACTGATGCAACAAGGGACTCCCCATGTTTTTTGTTTGCTGGCCTGCAACAGAGAAGGCTAGTAGCCAGTGTCACAAAGCTATTGTACCTGCATTCTGAAGTCTGCCAGTTGTGCCCTTGAGGTTTGGACATAAGATGGGAAAAGAGTTAAAAATCCATACAAGGCAATTCAGTTATTTCAGTTGTTACTGAAGTGGGAGGGCTTAAGAACTGACTGGAATGTGCTGCTGGACTCTGCTATGAGGCTTAGGTGCCTCATTCTACCATTTCTCAATCTCTCTAACCCTTTCCATATAACCTGGCTAGATTTCCCCTTACCAACTTGCATGTCCCAGTCATCTGCCTGGGCTATCAGTGACTGCAAGTTCATGAAGGTAATGGGTTAAAAAAAGTGATGCAGGGAGGTAACAAATAATGTATCTGTATGGGTGAAAACTTCCTCATGCATTAGAAGTGCCTGTTTTCTTCCTGTAAGAATTGCTTGGAGCAGTATGCTACATTGCATGTATTCTGCCACTATTAAACAGCAGTAGAATCTGGATATAGAGGTGTCACAAGGAAACTGGGTACAGTTTGATCCCTTTCTGGGTGGCTTTGCTTAAAGGTCATCTGCCTTTCTATTGGGAATTATTATAGTAGCACTTCTCATGAACCTTCCTTAAAGATGTTAAGGTTCTGGTTCATAACTCAAGTAACTGATTTAAATTGAATTGTGATAGGCTGTTTGTTTCCCTGTGGCACCTTAAAGTAAAAAAGCCAGTAAGTATCCTAGTTGCAGCAAACGTTACCTTAAAATCCTTGCTTTCTTCCTAGGAAGTCTCCAGAGGGGAACTTTTTCAGGGTGATATGACTTATTGTAACATACTGTCTGATTCTTCTGTTTCCATGTCTGATGGACTCGCATTTCCTGTTCATTATCCATAGGTGCTACCAGTAGGTCCTGAACTTCCAGCTGGCACTCCATCCAGTGAGCCGCTGCCACCCTTTCCAGGACCTTCACTAACTCAGGTGCTATATAACTTGGCAGACCTTCTCTCTTTCAAAGAGCATGTTCCAATTAAACACTTCATTGCATGGTCTTGGCCTTCACTTTCTCCTCTTTCAACTGTATAACCCCTTTGTATAATTGCAGCATGGACCAGAAGGTTGGAAAGGCTCACCTTTGGGATAATAGACTTTAATTTGACCTGTAGGACCAGTGAATCAAGCTTAATTTTTGCCATTTTTTGTTTTGAGAGGTCTCTTAAATTAGAGACCAGTGTGTCCACAGAAGTTTACACCAGGATTTTTTTTTGGAGAGCTTTAGCATAGATGCTAGTTTGTCACATAGCTAGGTTTTGAAGTATATGTCTTCACAACGGTATATTTGGAAGTACATTAAGCATTGCCTTTCTGAGTTTCTGTTGCCAGTTAAAACTTCTGTAGAGCCCAGCAAATCAAAATAGAATATATTTCTGTAAGACGCTTTCAATTGTGCTTTCTATCATGTAAGTTCGAAATCTTTTTGAATCCAGGCGACAACTTCAGAAATGGCCATAAGTCAAAGTCAGTGAAGCTAGCTAAAGCAAAAAACAGTTTTTGGTTTTCTTTGTTGGTTTGTTTTCCAGGGATACAAACTCTTTTGCCAAATAAAATGCACTTAGTGAATGAATTGTAAGTAAATGAAAGGAGGCATTTAAACATAATGCTGCTAAGGTGGTCATCCTAGCTGATATAGTAGGATCTAGTAGCAAAACTATAACTCGGGAGAGAAGACTAGATATTGCAATACAAAACTTTATGCTGCAAATGCAAAATCACTACCTAGCTTCACATTTTCAGAAAGCTCCATGGGTTTTCATAAGTATTGCCAGAGATTGCAGTGTTAGTTTTGTACCAGTTTTTAGCATAGCTCTTTAAAACATCAGGTGCTGATTTTAAGGGCTGTTGTTCAAGCAGACTTGAGATATGCATTGGGTGAACATTTGCCACATGGATAGCTGAGAAATTCTTTTTTGTCTTGTTAACTTGAGTTTGGCTTACTGCCTTAAAGATGCACACCTTGCTGACTGTTGCCACCTCTCTTGTTAAAGTTAAAGGACACTTCATAAAATGGGTTGTGCAACTCTTGAGTACATTTGCAAGCAGTAAAGACTGGCAATAAAATAGAATATTTTCTAGATATGAAGCTATGAAGATGGAGGCTTGTGCTGTGTACACACGTTCAAATGATCTAGAAGAATTTCCCCTGGCTCTTTTTGTTCCTTACCTGGAGATGCGTGAACAGACATTAGAATGCTGAGCCCCTGAAGAGCAGAGAGCTTGCAGTGCTGATGCTGTACAGCCAGGGAGCCCCTGTGCACACATTTTGGTGGGCTCTGCAGATTCCTTCAGTCCATCTAGAAACAGAGGGCAGCAGTGCATACAGAAGCCCCGATTGCCTGACCCAGACTGCTCAGGGTCAACCTGTGTTTCTCTGCAGCACGATATGGGATTGTCAAGAGGGTGTGTTGCTCCCTGCTGAGCTGAAGCATCAGTGTCTGGTGAGCGACACTGGCTCCTGTGCCCCAACCCCAGGGAGAAAAGCACTCTGGGATACTGGAAAACTGCTGTGGCCTCTCTCAGAAGGAAACACATACATACATTTTCTCCTGGGAGTGACTTGACCCTGGTTGTTCCTGGGTTATTTTTCTCTTTGGAGTGGCCATTTTTGCTCTGGGGGAGAAATCCTGAACATCTGCACGCTTGTGGCTGTTCTTGGGAGAGCAGGAACTCTCCCAGGAGAAACGGAGTGTTTGCACATGGCTGTAATAAGCAACAGCTTTAGTGTCAGACAATTATTTTGTGAAGAAATGCAAGCTCTATTTCTCTCTTGAAGCTGCTGTTCAAGTGTACTTTGCCTGCAAATGTAACCCAATTTTGAGATTTAAACTTGTCAAGGAAATATGGATGCAAGTAGGCATCTGTTAATGCCTCCCAGACCTGCAAAATGACCCTTTTATAGATAAACTTTTTCCATTTATTATTAAAACTTTTCTAAAAGTATTAACCTTTTTTGGAGATGAAAATTTTCATGCATGTTTTTTGTCCAAAAGGTGAGTTGTTCTGGAGTTCTTATCTAAAAATCCTTTCCGCCATATTTGTTAGACATGAAACTATAGACTCCTTTTAAAAAGATGCAAAAAAATCATGTTATAGCCATTTTAGCTGTAACTTTTAAAGCCCTAATATTAACATTGAGTTTTTTCTCACTAGTGGGAGGGGCAGAGAAATGAAAATTGGAAATCTGTCTGCATAGCTTTAGTGGGTATTACTTCTAGCAGAACTAGGATCTGGTGCTTGGTACTGCAGTACACACTCTCCCCCACCCAATTAGACATGCATAAGAACTGAAAGTGTCAGACTTCTGCTGGGGAAAGTTGCACTCAGTGGGCCTTTGACTCCTTGTCGTCCCTTTTTTCAAGTCGGCAGAGGAGCTTATGGCTCATTAGCAGCAAAGATTATGCTAGTTACATCAGTGTGGTGTGAAAGATTATTTCTAACTGAAGCCATTAAATTCCACAGAATGAGTGGTCATAGGGAAAAGTAGCAATTAAACTACAGGGTTGGGTTTTTTTCAACCTTAATAGTAGATACTTTCCTACTCCTGGGTATAGCTAGGATAGCAAAGTGTAGCCATCTTATTGGTTGAGTCCTCTGGCCTTTCAAAAGACATTTACTAGAATGTCTAATAATAAATGAAAGGTGTTTTTTTTGATGGGGAGCAAAGAGATCTCCTCTTGCCTTGTACAAACAGGGTTGTATCTTAATCTGTTTTACTAAAACCAGAAGGCTATAATTTAAGATTCAGATGAAACTCCTGGTTCAGGTACCAGCCCCTTCTATGGTTAGTTACCACTTTACAGAGCATGTTAATACATTTATCAAACTCAGCCTTAAAACTAGTTGCTTGCCCCTCTCTTCCTGGTTGGGGGACAGGTGTGTGTGTGTGTTTGTGTGTGTGGAAATCCACTTTTGGTTAGGAACCTTCTAATTCCTGATCTTTCTATATATAAATAATATATTTTACTTTTTTTTTTAGCTTCCTCCCTCTGTGATGTGTACAACAGTGCAGCTAGAGAGAGCAGCCCTTCCCTCTCAGCTTTTGCTTTGCTAGGCTAAACAAGCCAACCTCTTCTAGTCATAAGAGGCTCTCCATTCCCCTGGCATTTCAAGTAATCTTTCTCTGTACTCTTTCAGTTAACTTTTTTCTTGAACTTGGATAACTATACCTGTACACAGTATTTCAGAGAAGGCGTTACTTAAGGCCTTATGCTATACCATTGTACTAAGTAGTCTTCTGTTGCATGTTACGCTTAGTTACATGTAACAGTTGTATATTAGATTTGTATTAAGTATTTAGTACGACTTAAAGCTTGCTGAGCAGTTGTATGTTAATGTTTGCTACAATCTAAATATAGAAATACAGATCTTAGTACTGCTCTGGAGTGTTGAGTTGGCTCCCATGCAGTCCCAGGGCTGAGACCTGAAACTCAGATGATTTTTGGGTCTCAGCCCTGGGATGGTACAGGAGCCAGTTCAAGACTCCAGTGCAGTCCCAGAGCTAAGACCTGAAAAATCAGTTTTGAGAGAGAATTCCCTGTAGCCCCTCCCTACTCCCCTGCATTCTTGTCTAGGTGCAGGGACCCACTTGAGCCAGTTGGAAACTTCTGTGCAATTCTGAGGCAGAGACTCAGTATTATGGGTCCTAGGCTCAGGACTGCAATATTTGTATTATTGCAGTGGAGCAGTCTTGCATTATAGAATCATAGAAAATGGGGGTTGGAAGGGACCTCAGGAGGTCATCTAGTCCAACCTCCTGCTCAAGGCAGGACCATCCCCATCTGGATCATCCCATCTAAGGCTTTGTCTAGCCGGGTCTTAAAAACCTCCAAGGATGGAGATTCCACCACCTCTCTGGGTAACCTGTTCCAGTGCTTTACTACCCTCCTAGTGAGAAAATTCTTCCTAATATGTAACTTAAACTTCCTTTGCTGCAGCTTGAAACCATTGCTCTGCCACCACTGAGAGCAGTCTAGCTTCATCCTCTTTTGAACCCCACTTCAGGTAGCTGAAGGCTGCTATTAAATCCCCTCTGTCTCCTTTTCTCTAGATTAAATAAGCCCAGTCCCCTCAGCCTCTCCTCATAAGTAATGTCCCCCAGTCCTCTCACCATTTTTGTTGCCCTCTGCTGGACCCTCTCCAATTTGTCCACATCTTGATACTCCTCCTTCAACATAATTTTACTATGATTCAAGAGCACTCAGCAGCATGTGTCATTCTACTTGAATGCTTGGACTAGTATTTTAAGTGTGGTTAACACATCAAATATAATTTGCAACAACCCCCTAAGCTGTTTGTTGGTCATGAGTGAAGTCAAAGATAAGTAAATCTCCACAGTGTTTTGTCATCAGGTTTGTAAGGAATCAGGGTCTTTTTTGATTTCCCTGATTTTTATGTGAGATTAATATGATACTGACAAAGCTGATGAAGATGCCCTTTGAGCCACTGAGTACCTATGCACTCTGGTTTCTTATAAAGGTCATTTTCTCTTGTAGCAGTGACCTTGGCTAAGAGCATACGTTTCAGGACTTAATGATCTAGTTTATATGAGAGTGGAAAAGAATAGTGGTGCTGTGACTTGCAGATGATACCTTTTAAGAGATTCCATGAAGGTAAAAGTCTCACAGCATCAATTTTTCCCCCACAGTCTTTGTGCCCATCCTGGAGATTCTAGGAAGGGAATCTCTTGATTTTTGTCATACGTTTACAAATGAGCTGAGCCCTCTTCTTGCCCTTGGAATCTTTCTTTTAGTGTGTCCTCCTTAAGCTGACCACATTTTAGAAGGCTCCACCTTGAGTAGTTTGAAGTTTCAAGACTCCTTCTTGGGGAGGCATCTCCCTCTTTCAAGCAAAATCCTTTTTCATCTACATGGTTTGCTTTGGCTTAATGTTTATTGCTGTTTTCATTTATAGATGTTCCTCTTTCTTGAAGGATTTACTTTGAGCTGCTTGCACTCCTGACCAGATGGTACCTTTAGAAAGACTGAAATGGATAGATTTGTAACTGCTTCTTTGTGGAAACTTTTGAAATGAATTCTTCACCTTTTTTTGCATCAATTTGAAGAGGAACCTACTTCTGAAATGGTTTTGCTACCCTTCTAGCACCTTTTTACTTGCTTGTTTCTGTGATTCTGCAGTTGACTCCAATGAAGAGCCTTTGCTAAAGTGGGTGCGCTGTCCAGTCTATAAACTACTGCCAGTGCCACATCAGCCTAAGAAAGCAGCAGGCACAGGCAGCATCAATTTCTGGTTGCTGCTGCCACTGTGATCACAATTGCGTGGCTGTGGCAAAAGCAGTCTTTTCTGTGTTGCCACCCTCGCCCCCACACCACATTCAGATTCATCTGAACCTTAAATTGGTGCCCAAGGTGGTTGCCCCTGTCACCTCACCCTACTTACACCACTGCACTGTCCTTAAGGACTAAAACTGGAAAGCTTGGGAGGCTGTTTGGACTGAGTCCATTAAGAATCTTCAGAGAAATAGCATTACCAATGAAGTGCTCCTTCCTGTTTCTGGTTTCTCTGTATAGCTTAATATGCCACTTGTATACAGTAGAGATATACCACAAAAAAGCTAGGAAACAAAGGTACTGGAGGTATTGTAACTGTACTGTCTGTTTATACCACCTCTACTCTGTGTGGTTGGGACATTGGGCAGCTGATAACTGTTGCTTTTTTTACTTCAGTCCCAGCAGCCACTGGAAGACCTGGATGCTCAGCTAAGAAGAACCCTCAGTCCAGAGACTGTCCCAGTAACATCTGCTCCTGCCTGTGTAAGTATCTTCAGTGTTTGGTGTTTAGTAGTCTTAAAATGATCAAATCTGTGCTCGCTTAAATTGTCATTACAGGGTCAGTTTTTCAGGGTGCTTATTGCAGTCACTCTTTGCTTTCAAAATAAAAATACTTTGAAGATTCAGAAGCTAGTAAATAGCATGCAGGATAAAATACTGCATGGCTTGTCCACAGTGGCTCTTGGAAGCTTTTGAAAAGTTTTCTACTCTGTTGGTAAAGACTCCCCATTTAAAATAAAAATACTAGAACTGTTCCAGAGGCTTTGAGGATGCAGCAATTCAGAAGACTTGGAATAAAGATTGACCTATGGGCCTCTGGTACTGAGGCAACTGGAACTGATAAGTATATGCAGAATGTGTACCTTAGCTTATATGGAAGAGGAAAGAAACTACTCTTTCTACAAAGGCACTAGGAAATTGTAATACCAAGTCTGAAAGTGTACTGTGGATAGAGGGTGCATGGACAGGAAAGCTAAGTTTTTTGCATACACCCCTGCATACTTAAAATTGAATAGGAAAACTCAAAAGATCCTAACCAGTGCTGTATAGATAATAGGAGGGAGGAGGGGGTGAATCTCAATTTGATGCTGTAATCTGCTGAAAAGGAGGTTCCATATTCAAGTAAATGGTGTTCCTATAACAAGTAAAACTTTGCTGTGCACAGAAAGAGGAGTTCTACTGGCTACCAGATAGAATTGGTTGTGCAAGAGATTCACTGAGATCACCTGTTACTTTTGCCTGCAGTTGTCCTGAAGGAATTGAGAAAAACATTGATCCTTACCACAATCTGCCTAAAGCATCTTACAATACCCAAAGGACAGCTAAAAGATTTTTTCTTGTGTTCATAGCCTGTGCCAGCAGTTACCGCTCCAGTAACCGTTGTAGCAGCGTCTGCACCTACACAGCCCCTAAAAGATGGTAAGAATCCTCTTGATCTGGTGCTTCTCACCTCACTTCTTTGGAGGCAAGTGAATGGAGTTGCTGGGCATGTTTAAATGTCAAAACCTAACATTGCAGGGTTCCCGCCTCTCTTCCCCCAGGGAAGGTACCGGTTTTGATACAGTAGGCGGCCATTTTGTAGTATGGCAGGCTGAGGCAAGGGATATACTAACGAGTTCAGCTCATACAGGTTTTAAAACTCTTACAATGTTAAATTTTTATATTTGTTTACTTGAATCTTCATACATTGCTCACTAAAGTATAACTTCAGAACTTGGAGTGATTGTTTTAATCTTCTGTGCATGTTAATTACTTGACAAGAGTGAAGATTACATTTCTTATCATGATCTTTGTGTACTGCAAAAAGAGGCTCTCTTTCCTTTTCAGTGGAACCAGATTATTTCTCCTCTTTTTCCTAAACAGAGTATAAGCCTGATATTAAAACAATACTTGGAGAAAAGATTTGCTTCTTGACTTTATTCAGAGCAGATGTTGGATTTTCAAATCCTGAATCTATCCATCTGCTATTTGTACAATCCTGTAAAGGTTCTCGGAAGTTTCAGGTATGTCCATTAGGGCTGTGCGAAACACCATCATTTTGTTTCGACATCTGTTTTGCTGTTATGAAGGGACAGTGTTTCGTTTAATCATTTCAAAGCAGCGTCCCATTTTGTTTCATCGAAACTGTTTTGCTGTTTTGACTTACTTCGACATTTCGCCCATAGGGTATAATGGAGAGTCATGAAGATGCCTAAAACGTTGTCATTGCTTGCCTGATTCAGACGCAAATTGCAGGGATGGTAGCCCCTGTTGAGGGCATGAAGCCTGTCAGGTTTCAAGGAGATTAGATATAGGGGTTTCTCAAACTGCACCCCAAATTTTTTTTAAAGCAAAATTTGCCAGCAGCCTTCTGTCATCTGGCATGCAGATCCAGGGGCTCGCCAGATCCAGCCCTCCAGAGGGCTGCAGGGCTGTGCTGGACTCCTCCTGGGGGTGTGGGGCCCCCGGATCTGCGCCAGATGACATAAGGTTGGCACCTGGGACCAGTGCTGGGTGCAGCCTGTGCCCAGTGCTGGACTTTGTGGAGCTCAGTCCGGCAGCAGGAGACAGCGCAACCCCAGCTCTGCCCACCTCCTGCCGCCAGGCTGCGCTCCGAGCAGCTCTACAGCCCTATGGAGCTCAGCCTGGTGGCGGAAGGTGGCCAGAGCTGGGGCTGTGCTCTGCCTCCCACCACTGGGCTGAGCTCCATGGGGCTGGCAGAGCCAACTGGAGTGCAGCCCGGCTGCAGGAGGCAGGGAGAGCCAAGGCCATGTTACCCGCCAGGCTGAGCTATGTGGGGCTGCGGAGCTGCTCGGAGCGCAACCCTGGCTCTCCCCTGCCTCCTACCACGTGATGTTTTGATGCTTTTTGTTTCATTTCGATTTTGCTGTTTCGAGCTCGAAATCAATCGAAACAGCTTCAAAACTAAACACTCAACAAAATTTTGCACAGCCTTAATGTCCATGTCTCTACAGAAATAGTCGATGTACCTGGCTAGCTAAGTCCATAAGGTATGGACTTATGGGAGTGTTGAAGTATCTGTTGCAGGTTCTCTTGTCTAGTTTTAAAGAACCTCAGTTACTTTTTCCACAAATGAGAGTTGTTATACTGTTAGCTTTATTAATAATGAAATAATTCTAGTAGTACTTGATGATTTTGCCCCATCTGTGTTGAACTTTAAATTTTAGGTCAGTTGAAATCTTTAATACAATGAATTTACAGCTTTACCATATTCTTGGGCAACTTTTAGTTGTATGGCTGGAATGTAGTCCTGTCTATACTGTTCCTTCAGCCATGACTGCCTTTTAATGGGATTTTTAGCTGTAAAGACAGAGATGTAGAGCTATGTTGTTTCTTCATGCTTCAAATAATCTTCCGTGGTAATTAAGCTGATCTAACAGAACACAGTGTGGTGGGAGGGGATTGCATGTTGCCAGCCCTGAAGACAGAAAATGAGACTAATGTACTGAATAAAAACATCAGTCCTGAAATTGTTTAGTTTAACCTTTGAATCTTTTTGCATTAATAAACTGGCTCCAGCTTTCATGCTGCTTAACACCTGGTTATCTAACATTTTGGTACTAGAGATTAAATATAAAACTATAAATATATATATCTATAAATACATAAATATAAATCGTATGTATGTGTGTATGTATATATAGATTTTATCTATCGGGGGTGTGTGTGTGTGTGTGTGTGTGT